AAAGGAGGTGGTTTTGGAGGGCCTAGCCATCTTTTGCATAGGAACTGGCTGGGCATCGGTCTGCCCGTGGAAGGTGGTGAGTGATTGTCTTTGCATCACTTGTTTGGTTTTGTTTTCTTCCCTATTCTTCCACTCATCCTTCACTTATTAACCAATTATTACTATTTTTTTGTTTGATAGGGTTTATTTTGACCTCTAAATTTTCTTGGTTTTATTCTTCCTCCATCCCGCTGGGGGTGGGGGGACTGTGTGGTGCTTATTAACCCACAACGCCAGTACTGGAGCAACTAGTCATTGACGTGTAGCATTGCTTGGTCCCTCTGGGGTTGATAAATGCATTTTACCGTCCATAGCAAATAGTGCCTTAAACTAATGACTTTTTTTATGGCTTATTGGCTCAGTGTTGCTGAACACCTTGGTCATAAGTCCATGTATTTGTTGACAGCAATGTGAGATTAAACTTTCTGTTCTCCAGTTGCTGTTTTTAAAACCCCCCCCTCTTCTTTTTCTGATGACCTTGGTGATACCAGTGGATCTGGTTTTGGGGTCATGCTGTAACAAGATCTCTGGAATGGTCTAGGTTAAGAAAATAACTGGATCATATCAGACCGGTGTCAGAATTTCACTCATGCTGTTTCCTGGCAGATAAAATTTGAAGTGGAAAATTCTATCTTGCATATTGGCGAAAGAAAACCCCGGCCCTGTGTTCTGCAGGAGTCAAAGGCATAAAGCTGAAACCAATGTTTCAGCTAATAAGATTGCGCAAGGAATTGTAGAAAAACACACTATTTTGTAGTTAAACTGGCTCTTACTGTTTTGATCCATCCCTCAGGCTGTGCCTAATCTTAACCTGAAGATTGACAACTCAAAAGAAATTGTTGCAAGTGAGCAAACTCTTAAAACCGGGAGTATCTTTCCCAAAAGGGATCTGTGATGCCATTGGAAGTATTACTTGCTTTTGTGAGTAGAGAGCAAGAGGGATTGAAATATCCTAAAATTAAAATGTCTGAATGATCTACTTTAAATCTTCAGTAACCTCTGTAGAGTGCTGGTCAATTTGAGTGTGGATATTGTATAATGGAAGACAGTTTTGAATGTGTTAAAGTCATACAACTGATTGGAACTGCACATATTCGCAGTACAAAGTATTTTCAAGTACATTTAATGATAGAAACTTTCTTCACTCAAAAAATAATTTAAATGCAAGTTTAAATTTTGGAATTGTATTTCTTAATACGTTTACTATGTGTAAGTTCTTTTTTAAAGGTATAAAGATTGTTGTGCAGCCAGACTCTCAAGCAGTGCTCTCTGGTCAGGTCGTCAAGCTCTGTTGTTGGGCCACAGGACACCCGTTTGTGCATTACCAGTGGTTCAAGCAGGAAAAAGAGGTAATAGTTGATACAGAATATAGATTTCTCTTTTTTTAAATGGTGAAAATAATAGGTAATTGTTTTGGTTTATGGTGTTTTGTTTTTTTTAAGACTGTTACTCTTATTCACAATGAGAGAAGATTGCTGTATATACTAGTAAAATAGAAGTTTAAGAAGTGCTGCATAATGTCTCTGTTAATGTGCTAAAGCAATAAGGTGGTTCCTTATATTCAGACTACTTCATCCTTGGAGGCTAATCTTGGAATGTGACAGCAAGGAAACTGTAAGTTTCATTGTCTCTCAGCCTACCAAGAACTTTAACACAGGCCACTGAGAAACTACCACACTGGAACAAATGCCAGTCACTGTTGGCCTGGGACAGATGGAAACTGGTTTCCTAAGAATGAACAGTTGAAGGCCTGAACTCAGTGGCGCACAGACTTCTTCGGTAAAATGCTGGAAAGCATGTGAACTGGTATCTCTGGAATTTGAATGGCAGCACTTAGGGCCGTATTTCTGGTCCTGGTTATCTTTCTACAAGGTGAATGCCCTTTTTTCTTAACATTGTTATTTTATTGTAAGTACTATTTTTAAAGATACAGTAAGTTTATGGTATTTTAAATTACTATTAGGACTGAAATTTTTAACTCATTTCCTACACTTTCTGAAAGTTTATCTAGATCATCCAAATCATGACTTGAGAAATATGATTACAGTCATTTCCTGCTCATTACAGGTAAAATGTAGACATAATAAAACAACACTTTTCCGTCAAAGAATGTTACAGTTTCCTGGTTGTAGTTGAATATATCTTTAAGACTAGAGCTGAGTGTAACGCATGTGCTGGTTGGAGTAGTGCTGAAGAAATTATTCAGAGTTACTTGTGGAGAAAGGTAAAAATTATTCATTTCGGGAAGAGCTTTTCAACTAGCTTAAAAGCTCGGAATTGTCTTAAATAGAGGCATGTGAGTTCTTGGAAGAAAGACTGTCTCTGAGCTACTAAATATGTAGAACAAGACTTTCTTACCCAAAAGTTTGAAGTAAGTGAAGGAGTTGAGACTGGTGTTCTGGACATCGAAATAAATATTCTAATGTTTGATCCTGGTTTAGATTAAATCAATCTAAATTTAAATATTTCTTGGTTCACCTGTAATTCAGGTTCCCTATGGTAATTCTCCAGAACTGGTTTTGAATCCAGTGAATGTAAACGATTCTGGCTTTTACATCTGTCGAGTGAACAGTGAATCGTCGTTTGTGTTCAGTCGGTGGGCACGGCTTGAAGTTTGTGATCTTGAGGGTACATCTCATGGTAAGTGGCAAAAGCATTGTCTTCTGAAAGTCTGTCTTTCCTCTTGTTAGAGGAACCTGGGCCCCTGCTGCTGTTGTGGACAGGTGTGACAGAGGGCTGATTAAAAATGCGGTATCCAGTTATTGGGCTCTTGTGCTGGTCACAAAAGCAGAAAAAAAATTAAGTTCCGCGGTGGTGGATAAGAATAGATAGCTTGAAAACACACATAGTCTCAGATTCTTTTACTTCTTAGAGGATTCTTTGGCCAGAAAAGCAGTTCTTTAACTCGCCTCTTGTTTACCTGTTTACCTCTTGTAACTTGCTAGTGACTGGACACACAGTCTGTTTTGAATGTCTGCCCCGTGGGCTCTGGCCTAGTAGTCAGGACTGTGTGTTTCCCCTTCATCTGTGTGCTGCCAGTCTGAGGAAAAAAGGTATTTGGGTAAGGGAGAATGTAATGAGGTTCTCTGCCTTCCCAGAAAGAAGTCCTACCTTACCTAGAAGGTCAAAAAGGAAACTGCAGAAGAGCACATGCATGCTGGAGGTCTGGACACTTTAGAAAACCTAGATACTGTGGAATTGAAAGAGGGGTAACTGAGGAAACAGGACTGAGGTTTGGCAGGAATAAGGTTTGGCAGGTAGCGAAGTGATAGATCTCCCTTTCGGTCACTTTTTCAGATCATAATAGGCTATCAGAATCTTAGATGTGTAGTAGTCAGGAAAGATGAGTTGGTCAAAACTGAAAGATCAGTTTCAACACTTCGTTTCATAAGTTTTGTCCTGTATAGAAACTTACATCAACTGGACAAGTCTTCAGTGCATCTGAATAGGTTTCTTTCCCAAAGACACTTCTTTATGAGGACATATCGGTGGCTAATGTTTGTTAAGCGTTTTTAGCTTAGGGCTTTTTTAGTATATTTACTGTAAGGTTTGCTGCTCAATTTAGAATAAGAAGAATGGGGATATGCTAAAACTGATTTTGAGTTTTAAATTCTTGTTCCTGTATACACACTTGCAGACAAGTTCGATCCTCCGTCCATCCTTCAGTAGCCCCTCTTCTTTGTACTCGTTCCTTTCTCTGGACCCTTTATAACCCTACAGGCAGGAAGAAATAAAGCAAGAGGGCTTTGGTTTGTTTGGTTTTACTTATGGAGTGTACTTAATGTGCGTTCCTTTTTACTTTTCAACTGAAGAACTAGAAAGCTGTTGCTACTCATTTTTAGCACACTCTTGAAGGACTAGTAACAGCTTCATTGCTGTTAAAACAGTCTGTTGTGGTTAGGAAGATGTGGCAGTGCATCGTCAATTCTTGCTAGTCTATATGCTGTTAGATTGTCTCAACCTTTCTTCCCCCCCTCCCCCGCCCTTTTTTTTTTTCTTAAAGGGAGCTTAACTGGTTTGCCTGAAAACAAGTTGCGCATTTGTATTCAGCCTCAGCCACAAAACCTGATAGTGGGGGATGCTTTGGTACTAGAGTGTGGAGCTGTTGGAAGCCCAATTCCTCGTTACCAGTGGTTCAGAAATGGGTTTCCCTTGGCACATGGGAGCAAAAATATCTACATGGTAAGTTACCGCAAAGTGTCTGCCTTAGGGGACAAATGCGTAACCATCTTTAACTTAACACATAGAGCTTCCTTGAAGAAAAGAGCTTCTTCATAGCCTTGATAATCTCTTAGGGAAGTGCTCGCCATAAGTTGTTCTCCTGTTCTGTTACTTGCTTGTCCGTGCTGTTCTTGAGGCTCTCAGGTGCATAATTTTAATCCTGAACATGTTTCAGGTGTTAGCCGTGGGACATAAGGCTGTAGTGTATTTTGGATTGGTGTGACATGTTGACATAACAAAGATTAAGTATCGGTAAAACTGAAAGCTTCTGTCTTGTGTTGCAAGTACTCTGATTTGCATGAGCTGCTGCATTCAGTACTTAATGCATCTCAAGCCTGTGAGGTGGATTTGCATTCTTTCTTCAATTCTTGAAAGCATTTCTAGAACCTATGTGCTGTCCAACTTGCTGAAGAGGGAGGGTATCAGCAACTTTTGGATTTGTTCAGGCTTTGCTTTTAGTTTTTACTCTTTCTTGCATGTGGGCTCAAATGAAAGTGATACTGAAAAGATGTTCTTTTGGGGTCTGGTGGGATGACTGTGATGATGCTTGCATAGGTGACTTACGTGGATGTGGAACATCAAGGGACATATTGGTGTCACGTATTCAATGACCAGGAAGATCAAGACAGCAAGAAGATTGAAGTTGTTATAGGTAAGGAGTTTTTCTGTTCGATATAGGTCAGCCAATTTACCACTTTCTTCCCTGTCGTTAGAATTTATTTTTGAAGCTTCAGTATTAAGCCAAGCACATGCCTTCTGTATTTTTAGTTTATCAATATGTTAAAATAGCTTTGCTTGCTTGCAGCAAATGGAATTTTAGAGCTTTATCAGTTATTAAGTGCTTTGGATTTTTATGGTAACCAGCATAGAAATGCTACCACTTCTGGCACTGCTAGCATGTACATGTCTTGTCAGCAGATTGCAAGCTGATTTCTTTATGGTTTTTGACAACGAAGAACCACCTTAACCCTTGTTGGTGGTATGAACTGTGTTACACTGAGCCCTTCAGCAGTCAGGACAGGTGAGATTATTCATAGCAAGCAGAATAAAGGAATATAACATGGTTTAGTGTGGATGCAGGTATTTGCAGTAAACTAAACAGGAGAAAGTCTGTTTGTATAGCTTCCGGATCTATCTCAGAATACTATTGTGTAATGGAAAGTTCTTTCCTATCCTAAGAAATATTCTAGTTTAGTACTCCTGAATTTTAGTAATAATTACTACACAGTGTTGTGGTCAATGCTGATTTATACTGTTATAAAATGAGCCAGATTGCAGAGAAGCTTGGAAGTGACCTTTGTCTTCTACTTCGTGTGCTGACTCTCATGACTGAGAGCAATTGACTTCCAATTTTTTTCCCCCCCTTAAAACACGAGGAAGGAAAGCTATGGCAGTGGAGTGCACAGAAGGTAAAGTAAGTCTTTAGCTATGAGTCAGTTTTTAAAAATTAATGATGGGGATGACGGATTATTGAGTGTGTTGCTGAAAAGCGTGTGTGAGTTAAGAGCTTCAGTCTATTTTAAAACACTGTGTGATGCAACGTTCCTTCTGCATGTGCTTCTCTCTTCTTTGCCTTGATACCGTGATCTACAGTACTAGATTAAAATCAAGCTACGTTCTTCTTCTGTAGTATTCGAAGTTGTTTGATTTTTGCACTGTTTTGTTTGATTTTTCCACGGTTTCTAGTGAAATGTAAAGATCTTGAGATTTCTTTGGCTGGGATTAGGAAGCAACATCCTTGCAAGAAAGGCTGAAGATGTTTAGGAATCCAGGTGACCTTAGAGAGCTGGATAGAGCCAATTCCACTGTCATCTCTGCATCTGCAAGAGGTGTTTCCAGCAACCTTGTTAGGATGACTTACGTTCTCCTTTGCATTGCTGCAATGGGGAGGCAGGAGTGTATTGCGACCTTTAATGGTGATCCATCCCTTGATTACAAGCATCTCAAAGTCTGTAGTGTTTACATCCTAGGGGATCATATACAAAGATTTAAGGCTGCTTACAGCAGGCCCCCCCTCCCCCGTTTACCTACCAACAATGAAAAAAAACAAATGCATTTGCAGAGTACAGTAGATGGCTTTCTACCCTATTTTTTCATAGAATTGTAGAATTTTCTTGGAATTAAATTGCTCTGCAGCATTTCTTGTTGAAAGTTTCACCATAGCTGATGTTCCCTTTTAGCCCTTTTGTTAAAGGTTTAACATTGTGAGTGGATTGTGTGCTGTCATTCACTGGAACATACAAGCGACACACATTTTGGTGTCGGCCACTTCCATGGCATAGCTTCTGTGGCCAATCATCTTTTTGAGACTTCACCTCTTTTTCTGGCTGGGAGGTGTCTGCATTACCTGATGGAGTGCTGTGCAGAAGTTTCCTAGTTACCTGTATTTCAACTACCCTTTGAAGCAGAAGGTGACCACTGTGTTATCTGTGGGGTCTACACCCAAACCACAGTTTGCTTGGATGCAACATCGTTCTGCTACTAAGCCACTTTAACAGCTACCCTAGTATTGCCTCAGGTCACTGCAATCTCCTACTTAGATTTATGAGCCTGCTTTTGTGGCTTAGGAGGTGTGCCACAGGCTCCACTGCATGGAGCAAGCCTGCTCTAAGAGACCGCTGGTGCTTTGGAGAAGTTATTTTTCTTTTCCGTAGTTTCCAGTGTTCTCAGAATAAATACGTGAAACCTGTGGTAGCTAAGAATGTTTGAAAATTGTATCTGAAGTCTTTCTGAATACACATGGCTTTAAAATTTCTTGCTCAGGGTGTTGCTTTTTCAGAGGTCTTCAAACACCTGTTTTCCAAATGGGGGATGCTGATATGTTGTTCCTTAATCATTTAAGCTGCTTGCATGCCTGTGGGATTGAGGCATAGTATGTGTTTCTCCCTTTATTTTGAGATGTACTATGTTGTAACACTATGTCTTGCATAGCTTAGTGTATTGATGTAGGATTTTCTCTTCTCTGTGTGTGGAATAAACATATGAAAGGTTAGATTTACAGAAATGCAAAGCCAAAATATTTTAGAAAGGTAGTTTGGTTTCTAATGTTCGGCTTCTGTTAATAATGACTTGACACATAATTGTATTTTTATTAATAAAAAATGTATTTTTTGCTTCTTCTTTAAACTATTATTTTGTTGGTGTATTTCTTCACAGAAGATCTAAGTGATCTTCAAAAACTAGGTAAGTGATAAGTTTTGAAAAACTTTAATTTCACATCTTCATTTTATGTTGCAAATCACTGCAGCCTAACTGGATTACAACATCTAGTTTACATTATTGGGATGTATTTATAACTGGGGATTTAATAGGGGCAGATATTATGTTAAGAGCGGCACAGCTTTCTGGTTCCAGTAAATTGACTTGAAGAATACAGTGCATCATAGGGTTGCTGTTATCTTTGTAGAGTCACACAAAAGCTGGTCTTCGATACTGCGTGTATACTTATACAAATACAGAAAGAATTATCTTTTGCTTTCTTGTCTGTGGCTTCTTTGGACTCTTAAGTTTTAGTATGTTGCTGCTTTTTCAGATGATTAAGGTGAAAAAGATGTAAGATGTCTGGCTGTCAACCCATGATATATTGAATTGGTGTATTTCTTAGACTCATATTGGAGTGAGCTAATGTGGTTTGAAGCCTGTTTGATGTTTGTTATAGAAAAGTAGATCTGGAGTAGTGCTCCATAAAGAATTATCCCCATAAAGGATTATCCCCAATGTAGTGTTCCCGAAATCTCAGATCACAAAGGTCATATAATTTCCTGGGCTAGAGATCAAAGATATGTTTACTTTTTCCCAGACTTAGTTTTAGTCACTGAAGTGGTACTGTCATGATATGTAACATGTTATCCAAAGTGTACCACTTTGGCACATCAATATCTGTTCCTCTTGCACAGCATTGGCTCTACTGTCCCTCCGTGAAGTAAAAATTAGAAGAATTTTCACATACAGGTGGTCATCCCTGCTAAGCATCCCCCATGTTGCATGTCTGCATTTCATTTGGGGAGGAAGAACTGTTTCAGATGTTACTGAAAATGCTGATGTGCAGCTTGTGAGGTTCAAAATTACACTGTAAGCATCTATAATTCCTTAATTTATAGAACTGGCTATTCATATCCTATTAGGCTATGTTTGCTGGAAGCAGGTGAAGGAAATCAGGTAAACAATAATAACAACAAAACAACACCCAAAACCCCACCAAAACAGTACTGATAGACTATGGCTGTACGGAGCACACGTTTCGTCTTCTAACATTGGCAACTATGACTGTAGATACTGATGATCCACTGTTTTACTTTATTTCAATCAGACCTACAAGAACAATCAAACCACAGACCTGTTGGTAAGTAGTTTTTCAGCTATAAGGAACGTATGTATTTCATACCAAGGAAATAGGTTTTGCTGCTTCTGAATATTGCTGCTTCTGCCACTGCTAGTGAGTTAACTATAGGGCATGTAAATAGCTGCAGGGAGGGAGACTTCTAAGTATTTTTGTAGTCCTTTATAGTGCATGCATGCCCTTTCAGTAGTAAAATGTGGTGAGGGCACCAGTATTTTTAGTGTCTTGGTGGAGCGTCTACAACTTCTCATGTGTTTCAGTTTACTGTTTCAGATTCCTCTGGCTGCGACCTTAGGCGGTGTGTTACTCCATTAATTTGAATACTTCGACAGCTGGAGATAGTGGTATTAGGATGATGTGATAGAAAGGATTGGTAGTGTGTCTGCTGAGGGTATGCTGTCCCTGCAAGCTCGGCTCTTCCTGTGCTCAGCATGTGGATGCTTTGATCCTGAGCTGGAGCTCAAAGATAGATAGATGGCATATGTGTGTTATGAAGAATAGTTTCTGAGGCTTTTTAATCACGTTCTTAAATTTACATGGCAGACTTGGCTGTGGTCAGGCATGTTGTCTTGTCCATGCTAAACCAGGTGGAAAGGCTGCTGGCCTCTGTCAACATTTTACCACACTTCAGGTTCATCAGTATGAGAGAACATGTAAGTGCTCCCCAGTTACGCTTCATCTTTTCTAAGTTAATTAGAAAGCTTGTACTTTGAAAAGAGTTTTTCAATGACAGTATGCCACTGTCATTCAACTTCTGCTGTTTAAAATAATTTACTCTGTTCAAGACCTTGGAAGTTTTCCAGCTGCTAAAATGTTGAAAACATCCTGTTTGAAGGAGGTGAAATGTTAGACGTTGGGGCTGTGGTCAAAGATTCTCTTCTGGATCTAGCTGTGCAGGGTTACTGACTCTGAAGCAGGTTTGGAGCATTTGCCACCTGAGCCTGAAGTGAGATTGGGTACTATTTTCACTTTGGAAGAAATTAAATTTAAAGGTATTGAACCCATGGAATATATAAATGTGGTGTGGTTTTGGTTTTCCTTTGTCTTTGCAGCAACAGACAAGGTAGCTCTGTTAATAGGAAATATGAGCTACTGGAACCACCCCCAACTCAAGGCTCCAATGGTAGATGTCTATGAATTGACCAATTTGCTAAGACAGCTGGATTTCAAAGTTGTTTCTTTGCTGGATCTTACTGAGTCCGAGATGCGAAATGCAGTGGATGAATTTTTACTTCTCCTGGACAAAGGAGTATATGGTAAGAACATGTGATACCCCTTCTGAAGTAGGTCAGTTTTGTGATGTACACAAACATCTGGTATTTACCTCTGCCAGCTCACTATGTGATAACAAAACAAACTTCATGGTAAATAGCATGTATGTAGAATGGGAAAAGTAAGTTAAAAACACCCACTAGCATATCCTTTGGCTTTGGTTAAAATGTTACTGGTTTGGGTTTTTTCTTGGATAAAATGTTTGAACTTTTTTCTTTACCCACACTTGAAACTGCAGTGCGCTTTTTTGTTTGATAGTACTGATGCGTTTGTCTGCTAACAGCTGCTGCATCTGTATAGCATATGCTCTGCAGAAGATGCACATTTGTGCTCAGAAGTTATCAGTACTAGTTTGTGTAGTCTTCTAAGCAAGAGCAAGAATAGTCTGGTGTGTCACCTGTATTAGTGTGTTACGGAAAGGAGCTGGTAGCAGAGTGGTTGAAAACTGTGTGACTGCAGTACACAAGGCTACGTGTGGTCTTGGGCAGCAGTTCTTGCTGCCTTTAGGAGACCTCTTAAACACCTTCCTTATAAACTTCTACTCCGTTGTCCTCCTTCCTTCCCCACATCTGCCACTAAATGATTTGGTTGGGCCTGGCCAATCCCTTAGCATACGTGGACTGCCAGGTTGCATTTCAGCTGGAGAGGCGGGGGGCAGCCGAAGGTACAGCATGGAATGTGTTCTGGGCTTGCTGGTGGGACCCTTCCATTCATCCTCTGTCTTTCTACTGGATGTCTGCAGAATGCTCTTTCCTTCCGGATTTCCGTCCTCTAGGCACTCTCTGGTTGGGGCTGCTCTACTCTCTTAGTCCTCACTCTCCAGCTCTGTAAGATCAGAGGAAGAGGGGTGCTTTTCTGTGCCTTGACAGCGAGCTGCACTCCGATACCAGGTGTGTTGGGCAGCAGGGGAGAGTGGGATGTAGTAGCGAAGCATACCGCTCATGAAGATGGTACAAACTAAAATACACAGTGCAGAAATAAGAGAAAAGCATTGCACTTGAGAGTTAGGGTGTGACACAGCAGACTGGATGCAGTGTTTTTTGGCCTCCTCTTCTCTGCCAAGTTTTCAGGTTAAATAGAAATCCTTATTTTGAACTGCTGTTCCTTTCAGTTACTGTAATACTGGCAAGAGTTTTTCATAATGTCCTGGACAGGGCGTGAGAGAGAGTTGTGCAAACCTGGATTTCTACTTCAAAAAGCAAATTGAAAAGAATTTTTTTATGTAAAATGAAAATGTAGTTCTCCTAAGTTATGTCTATGCACTGTAAAGAAGTAAAATAGAGAAGAATTCACATTATCCTTTGCAGAATATGCCTTGCATAGGGAAGGGCATTAACTGAGAAGTTGATGAGCTATGGACTTCAGGTTCTGACTTTCTGCAGTTGTCAATGTTAAAGGACTTTTCACCAAGTCGAATACTAGGATTCCTGTTTGGGCAGAACTCAGGTACCGCTATTCTTTCACAGCTCTGTGGAAGGTCTGAGTATAGAGTATACTTTTTCTTTCTATGTGTCTTTGCACGTTAGGTGGAAAGCTTAATAGTGGTTATGCTTCTTAAGCAGGCAGCAGCCCTCTTTTTTTTTTTTTTCTCTTAAACTTTTCAGACTTAAAACACCCACAAAAATCCAAGGCACTTGCCTGTAAATTGCAGCATCGTTAATGATTATACTGTAGCATCTTGTCGGTATAGGTTTAAGTTATAGGAGGACAAATTAAGCGCAGTATGCCTACTGAGAGATACGTGTTTAACACATTTCTCTTTTTTCTTCTATAACTTTTTGTTGTTTGAATCACACATCCACCTATAACATACCTGTAATAGAATATTAATAATAATTTTAACCTCTCCTCTACATACTGCACAGGAGGTGCCTTCTGCTGGGATAATGACTCACCAGTTGGGTCTGGTATGCGTTGCTACTACTGATATGCATTGATTCTGAGGTGATTACTCATATATTGGGTTTCCTTCACTTGCATAAACTTGATTTTGAGGGACAAAGCACAAGACAGAACTGGTGGCTGTGCTAGCTGGGGGTGGGCATGGTGGAATTGATGCACAGAGAAAAATCCTTCATGTCTTGCACAGAAAATGCCTGAAATTACCTGTCTTGGAGTGTGAGTAAAGTTCTTATGTGGGCTTTGAGGCGTTTGCTGCTGTCTGCTACTATTTTTGTCTTTTTTCTAAAAGCTAGGATTGCATAAATGGCTCCAGAAATGAGTTAGATCAGAGACCAAAAAGTTCTGCCAGTTGTCCTGTTTAAATTGCAGAATTCCTATAGTGATACCCACCCAAGAAAACACTATTTGATTCTTTTTTGGAACTCAAGGTCAGATTATTTCTCATGTATGACTTAGTGTTTCTTAGTATGACTTTTTAATGGTGTGTTACCTGATGCTGTGCAGAACTGGGTGATCTGACATTTGGGCATTTATGTCAGAGACAAAACTTGCATGACGTGCAGGGGCTGGAACTAGATGATCCTTAAGATCCCGTCCAACCCAAACCATTCTATGATTCTAAGACTAAATACTGCAAAGATCAGTAGACTTTCTGATAAAAGTTTTCCTTTTTTGTTTCTTGGGAAGTAGATGTGCTTATACATGAGTGAGCTTTTAGATTCTTGGACCTTCTCAGGTTTTTTTCTGTAATTGTTGACATGAATTTGGAAATTAAAGTACTGAAAGGCTTTAATGAATTTCTCACCAGCACCATATGAAAGCTCTTAATAAGGCATATTTTTGTAGTAGTAGTATTTTTCCAGCAAGTTAATATTTCTGAAAGGTAAGCAAGAGCATTCTTTGAGTACTGGTTAGGAATAACTACTTCAATTTAAGTACTCACTTTGTTCTTTCTGAATAGTGGCTGTTAATGGCTTAAAGCATATAAAAGGTGCTGTCAGTGCACAAAGATAATGATTTATTGCATTTTTAGTGGGATTAACTCTGAATAGAAGAGTCATAGTGGCTACTTCTCTTTGGTCCTCGTTACACATGTTCATGATGCCTAATACGACACTGTGTAATTCTTGCTTGCTGCCAGGAAAGTGGCATTTCAGACACTGTTCCTTAAAAGCAGTAGTAGTAAACAAAGTGACAATGATTGTCTCCTCTAATGTCTTAGTTTATGTTGGCCTAAATGTAAAGTGCAATTAATGTTGTATTCCACAAAGGGTAAAAGCATAGACCCGTATGTTTTAAAGGCTAAAAATAGTTAGGTTGCGTTCTTTTAAAAAAAAAAAAGAGAGAGAAAGCAAGAGAGAGAGGGGCAGATATGACTTAAATGCTGACGTCTATGAGGAACTTGAGCCTACTTAAAATTGTTGTGTCAAAGTGTCTAATGAGGCCTTCCAAGCATGTTTGCTCTGCTTACTCTGGGTATGCAGAGATTTATTTCTGATCTTGAGCTCAACATATTAACTGTTGCAGGTACTCATCAAATGAACATAGCACAATCATCTGCCAAGGACATAAAAGCAATGTAGTTGTTCTTTCTGAGATTTTTCTATTTGTTGTGGAAAAGCTCTGATAAACCATGCTTTACATTAGAGAGACTTGTTTCTTTCAGTCAATTCAATTACTTACCTAGCATACATTTAGATATGTATGATCTCAAACGTAACCTTGATTTAGGTCCAGATTCAAGCTCAATGGAAACCAAATTTAAGGATTTCCTTTTAACAGGACCTGACATGGAGTCATGCACTTGGCACTTAACTTCATTTTTAACTCTTTTTAACTCTTTTGAAACCACCTGGTCTCAGGTAACCATTGGAATCTTATAAATAGCTCAGTAGTACCTTTATTTGTTTAGGTTTCTAATCATACACTCTAAATTCTGTGCCCTTTAGAAATCTGACTTTTAATTGAACAAAGCTGTTGCCATTTTCCAAGGCTCCAGCAGGTGAATAACTGTTGGGCTCTTTGTTCCAGTGCAGCCTTGCGTCCTGGAGGTTACCTTGTATGCACTTGCTGGCTGCTCCTCTTGACTATGCAAGTTTCCCATAAAAAGAAATTGAGCGCTGTTGATTGAATGAAACAGTTTGCAAGATCTTGGAATAGTTGTTAGTGACTTGAGAGCTTACAAGTAAAAGAGACCTGAAGGCTTAATTTGAAGGGCTCTAGTTGTATCTTGATATTCCTTTACAAGAAGTGCAGGGCTGTGTGAGAGAAGTGTTTTCATTTGTTGTAGCTATCGGTAATGAAAAGGTAAAAACATTTAGCGTGCCGACCTACACGAGCTGGTTCCAATGTAGATCATTTTAGCATGTTAGGGTAAGGCTTATTTTGTTTTTTCTGAATATTTTAAGTGTAGTGATAAATTTCACCGCCATTTTTACAAAGAATAATGTCATAAGAAGAATGTATCTCCAGTTAGCATAAATTGTCATATCTCTGTTGACTTCTGTTCGGCTGCAGCACTATGTACTAATTGAAGATCTGACCCATACACTGCTTTGTATAGGACAAAAATTCTTTTTAGAGGATGGAACTTGTCATAGAAGAACAAAAACAGGACTGGGAACAAACAATAGGAAAATTCTATTTAATCATACAAGCTTCTGGTAACTGCGTTTTATGGCAGTGGATGTTATTAATGCTGGCATCGTCTACTCTTACTTCAAATTGATATGACTTTAATATTAAACATTGTTATTCATTTAAGTAACATCCAAGCCCTAGGTTGCAGTTCCCTTTTTCAGGGTTAAGAAAAGCTTGGTTTAATTCCATGGTATTTTTTCTTTATACAAAACTATTGCATGTTTTATTGAAGATTTTAAATCTTAAAATATTGTAGACTGTTGTGTGTTGACACGTGAGGGAGGTGATTGTAGGATAGTCTTTTGTGTCTAGGTAAGCATGCAAGGAATTTGTTTGTTTTGTAGACCCACAAGAGTCATGAGTCAGTAACTGGAAAGAGAATGTAGATGCAATCAACTGAAAATTAGTTGTTGGTAGTTTGGTAAGGGGAGCATGCTCTGGAGTCCTGCAAAACATGATCAGGGAATAATCTTTTTTTTTTTTTCCCCCTCTAAATGTAAAGCTATTTATTATCCCTCCCTATTAAAAAAAAAAAAAAAAAAAAAAAAAGGAGAAACTGACTTTACAGAGGAAATAGCAAAACTAAGAACTTGCAAAATACTGTCATACTCCATGCAAAGTTTTTCTCTTGATTTTTTTCCAGTTAAAGTGCTTTTAAGTATTGCCAATGATTAATGGTAGGTTAAAAAAAAAATAATTAAAGGAGAATAATTTTAAAGATGATGGTGTCGCTCATTTAAAAAAAAAAAAGAAAAAAGCTAGGAAAAAAACTGTGTCCATACTGTTCAGCATTATTTTTTTCTAGCTATAAAATATGCACTGACTCACTGCAACTCAAAGCTTTGTAATAGCACATGTGGAGTAGATGTTTTACAGTTGGCACATTTCTTTATTTGTATCTGTGTTCTACATAACAGATTATTTCTGTTAGAGGTCACAACTCTACTTAAAGCATTTTAAGAGTGTTTAACTTCATGTGTTTGATGCCAATATCTGACTCTATTGCATGAGTGATTTCTTTTTTTTTATTTTGTTGTGTCTGTGTATTGCAAAGTTGATGTTAACATGGTTCCTCTCCCACCTCCCCTTCCTTCCTGTATTGACAAAACCTGCTTGGAGTAGCTTGAATGATCTTACCCTTCCACTGACTCATAGTGTGGACATAGTGCATGAAGTTTTTGACCATGCTAAAATTTATAGAAATGTTGCAATGTACTCTTGAACTGCATTTTCAGCCACACATATTTTGAACTCTCAGGTTTGTTATACTACGCTGGCCATGGCTACGAAAACTATGGAAACAGTTTCATGGTTCCTATTGATGCTCCAAATCCCTACCGATCTGCAAACTGCCTGTGTGTGCAGAACATCCTCAAACTAATGCAGGAAAAAGAGACAGGACTTAATGTATTCCTGCTGGATATGTGTCGGAAAAGGTATATTCTCATAATTCATGAATAGTGAGAACTGACATGAGATATTTGAGGGGTGTTTTTCCCTCACAATAGAGGGAGAGGTTATAATAACTGTAGTTTTGGGAACCAGCTGTGAAGTTCAGTTTATTCACTGCAGCAGCAGATTAAAACTGAACAAATAAAACTGAACAGTCCCTTTGAGAGAGGAGCAAGGGATCTTGAGAGAAAGACGGACTTCATGCTGAGGAGAAATCTTCAGTCTAGGCCGAGAATTCACTGTACTTGAAAGTTAATGGTTCTGAGAATTCATAGGCTGCATCCAGGTGCTTTTAAAGTCAATAGGATTCATTCATAGTCTTATTTTGCCTTTCGACTTGGATGGAAATGTGAAGCTGGTGATTAAACTTTCTGTTTCCAGGGGTAGATACTTGCCTCTTGATTTGAATGACATTTATTTTTTCTTTTGTTGCTGTTGTTTAAAAGTTACAAAGCATCAGTCTTATTAGATATAAGTGAAATTAGGCATCTTAAAGAAGAAAAATGACCCTTTCCCCTTGCATCTTTAACAGTCTTCATCATTACAGGGGCGAAGGAGAATCCATATGATCAAAGGCATGTTAATTTGACAGAAGGGCTCAAGTGAAGTGCTTATTTTAGAGCTTAAATGCCTCTGCAAACACATGTAGCATGGGGAATAAAGGAGAGGAGTAGATATGCAGGACTGTGATCTTACTGGCACCACAGAGACGTCGTGGGATGGCTCCTATGACTGGAGCGTTGGAACGGAAGGGTACAGGCTCTTTTAGGAAGGACAGGCAGGAGAGATGAGGAGTGGGTGTTACCCTCTATGTCAGTGACCAGCTGGGTGCATGGAGCTCTGCCTGGGGCTGGATGAGGAGCTGACCAAGAGCTTATGCGTTATGATTAAAGAAAGGGCAAGGACAGGAGGCATTATAGTGGGGGTCTGCTACAGGTTGCCTGACCAGGAAGACGCAGTGGTGAGGCCCTCTGTAGACAGATAGGAGCAGCCTCACGTTCACAAGCCCTGGTCCTCATGGTGATCTTCAACCACCCCATTATCTGTTAGAAGGACAACACAGCAGGGCATAAGCAATCCAAGAGGTTCCTGGAATGTGTTGATGATAACTTCCTTCTCCAAGTGATAGAGGAGCCAACGGGAGAGGTGCTATGCTGGACCTTGTTCTCACTGACAAGAAGAGGCTGGTGGGGAATGTAAAGCTCAAGGGCAGCCTTGGCTGCAATGATCATGACATTGAGGAGTTCAAGGTCTTTAGGGCAGCAGGGAGAGCACACAGCAGGCTTGCTACTCTGGACTTCAGGAGAGCAGGCTTTGCCTTTTCAGGAAACTGCTTGGTAGAGTACCATGGAATAAAGCCCTTGGACAAGGGGTCCAAGAAAGCAGGTCAGTATTCAAGGATCACTTCCTCCAAGCTCAGGAGCAATATATCCCAACGAAGAAGTCGGGCAAAAATGCCAGGAGGCTAGCGTGGATGAACAAGGAGTTTCTGGACAAACTCAAACACAAAAAGAAAGCCTACAGAGGGTGAAAGCAAGGACAGGTAGCCTGGGAGGAACAGAGGCCTGAAGAAAAGATGGCTCCAGGGAGACCTTATAGCAGCCTTCCAGCACTTAAAGAGGGCCTAAAGGAAAGATGAAGAGAAACTTTGCCAGGGAGGGTTGTGATCAGACAAGGGTAATGGTTTCCAACTGAAAGAGGGGAGATTTAGCTTAGATATTAGGAAGAAGTTCTTCACCGTGAGGGCAGTGAGGCACTGGCACAGGCTGCCCAGAGCAGCTGTGGCTGGCCGCTCCCCCGCGGTGTTCAAGGCCAGGTTGGATGGGGCTTGGAGCAACCTGCTGTAGTGGGAGGTGTCCCTGCCCGTGGCGAGGGATTTGGAACTAGGTGATCTTTAAGGTCCCTTCCAATGCAAACCATTCTTTGGTTCTATGAACTCTTCAGAGGCATGGGTTTTGTGAACTGCTTTTATGCTGGGATATTGTATCTTTATTTAGAGCTTAAAAATCAACTGTTTTACGGACTGGTTGAGGTTGGAAGGGGCCCTGAAGGTCATCTGGTTTGTTGGATTTTTCTAAACAAACTACTGTTTTCTATCTGATAAGAGACTACTATGCCAAATTAAATTTGCACTTGAAATCAGCTCTTCAGTCAGCACTTCTGAAAATTGGTCTCTAAGGCATGTTTCATAGTAAAAAATTGCTCGTGCTTTAGTGTTTGTAGAGCCTCCAAACTTCACTGCTAGTGAAATGCCAGTGACCCAAATTCAGCTTCACAATGTGCTGTCCAAATGCAAAATACAGCAATGTAAACCTTATGTTAACTATGCAGACACCATGTTTTGAAAAAAAATAAATCATGTAGTTTTTGTTATAACCTAAAATGTTTAGTTTTCAGAAATCATTTTTGAAGAGACTGTAGCCAAACTCTCTGGTTAATATAGCATGCTCTCATCTGGGTAATGCATGACTGTCTTTATATTGTCTTCATGAAGAGTATTGATGATGCTGAGTTTTGTCTTTTAGCAGTCAGAATCAGCAAGTGTAGGAGAGAAAAAAATTACTGTTTCTGAACTATGCTGGTTTGGTATTTTGAATAACTGTAGTTTGTTTATTCAAATTATTTTACTTTTTTGTGTTTCCATTTATTGCAGAAATGAATACGATGACACAATTCTTATCTTAGATGCTCTGAAGGTTACGGCCAACATTGTTTTTGGATATGCAACGTAAGGAAGTTTTTCTCCTGCTATGCCACGGAGGTTTTGAAGGCAGAAGTGACCACTGAGATTGTATAGCTAACCTTTTACAGAAAAGTGCTGACTGTGGTGTTAAAGGACCAGTAATTTATGTCCTTATCTGTGTCCTTTTTTACTTCATTCTTTGAATCATTCCACAGTCTAACTGACTGTGGAAATGCATAGGTAATGATTCCCAGTATTTGATGTTCCTATTCATGTGTAGGGAACTATATCTGCAGAGAGAACTGCATTCAGCAAACCAGAAACTGCTGGACAGTGATCCTCATCTTCTTCTAGTGATTAGTTGTAGGAGTGCTCTAGTCATCTAAGTATTATTTGTTAGAGATGAAAAAAGTGCGGAGAAGAAAAAAGCAAATTTTACCCTCAGACCCATATGTTCTGTTTCTTTGTGCTGATGGGGAAGGGAGAGTTATGTCCTGTGTGTTCCCAATGGTACTTACTGCACTCTGAGCTTGTACAGAAGGTCAAGTACTGAGGAGCAGTTGAACTATAACCTGCATGCTGTACCCTCTTTGGTCATGTGTCTCCTCTGTTAATGCAAGTTAAATTTCTAGAAAAAATGTGTTAGAAATATAAATTAATGAATTATTAGAGGAGTAGCATATAGATTGGCCCTTGTGTTTCTTATTCTATGTGTAACGAATAAAGTTACAGCTGCAGTTGAAAGTATTATTACTTAAGCAGAAAGCTAAATAGCCTCTCTCGATCAGTTTTCAAGTCAAGTGCAAAAGCTGTGGAATAGAAGTAGTCAAGAGCTTAAATGAAGTCTTCTATGAGAAATATCAGCTCCTCATGTAAACACTTTGACATCAGCTCTGGTCTGGGGCTTGACTGGAAGTGAAATCTGCCCAGGATGAGTTGCTTGCAAATGAACATGAAGAGCAGGTTGGCCTTAGACACAACCCTTTTTTCAAATTGTAGGGTTTCTTTCCCCTTGTCCCCAACATAACTTTACTCCTTTTGTCCTCGTGTTGATGTTAATCATGCAGATCTCTCTGTTTTTTCCTTGTCTGTTATTTGTGATCTCATAGGTGCCAAGGAGCAGAAGCTTTTGAGATTCAGCAGTCAGGGTTGGCCAATGGAATCTTCATGAAGTTCTTGAAGGACCGTTTGTTAGAAGACAAGAAGATTACTGTACTGCTTGATGAGGTTGCAGAAGGTGAAGTCCAGCTTACTGCACTAACAGTCTTCTCAGCCTGTGTTACTGAAAACTTAGTTTAAATGTTGTTTTCATCATGGTGAATGTGTTATGCTACTTTAAGCTCGCTCTTGTTGCATTTTGTTAAAATAGCAGCTTTTGTCAAGAAGCAGGTGCTAACGGGCAGCACATTAACAAAGATCATGATGTTCTGAAGGGATTTGAGCTTCTTTAATAGCGATCAATTTTATACTCTCCTTTTAGTAAACTGTATTTGTTCTGAGTGTCTTTCTGCATGGAGTTTTGAATAGTCCATCCATGAAAACTACTGTTCTGCCTTGTGGTGTCAGCTGCTAGTGGTAGTCCAGTCATTTCCACGTTCGTTTAAACAATTAACTGAGTCCTACTTACCTTGAGTGCTATAGTGATGATAATTATTTGCTCTCTGGAAAGGGTGTAAGTGCACTATAAAGGGCAATCCACTGCTTTAATATGCTTGGTTCAGTAACTGCCTTTTATAAATGAGAGGAGAAATGCTAAAGTGAAAACTGTTGAGGGAAAATATATTGCTTCTGCGCAAATGGCTCAAAACATGGAGAAATAGATATGGCCATTAACAAAGAGTTGTCTGTGTAGACTGTTATTTGTAGATAATGTACGTAATCAGCCAAGTTCTGCTGTGGTTTCCAGTGTACTTGGTGCAACTGCAGGTCTCGGAATTTTGCCTAGTCTGTCTTTTGACAGGGATCCAAAAAGTGGGAAAAAATCCAAGAGGATCATAAATGCATAGTAAAGTTCTGCTGTCAATAGGTCAGACTGTTGAAAATGAAGTGCAAAGATTAAACTGACAGAGCTTCTGTCAGTGCTGTACTGAGGAAAGGCAAGAGATCATTGGTTGACTAGCTGAAGTAAAAGCCTGAAATTTGTGTCCAGTTGATGGCAATAGGAATCCAGCATACCCCCAGGATGTAAATTGAAATGCGATGGTGCTTGGTTACCATTTGCTTGTTTCTCTGCTATATATTCTTCATGTCTTTTTGCTTGTAGTTGGTGTACTACTTGACTAGATCCCATAAAACAAACTTCCCATTCTGTATTCTCAGTCTTATCTGTTACGCTTTCCGTGAAGTTTCTGGGAAAAGTTAAATGAAATTTCAACAGATCTCAGAATTATCCTGAAGAAATAGGATCTGTAGATGGTGAAGCTAAAATGATTATTCCAGAGGCCAGGGCTGAAGTTGATTTGCACAGGGCGATGCGTTTCTCTTCTTTTGCCAGGTGCAGTCAGAGTGCTTTTTGCAGTAAGATTTGCACTTTCTATTTGCTTACAGTACTACTCGATTTTACCATTACCTATTTACACAGAAAGAACTTGAGGACTTGCTTCCTCTTATTTGCAGTGGTAGAAACTAGAGCTAGCTGTAGCTGTGTTTCCTGAAAGGCTGGCAGAAGCTCTAATAAAGCTCCTGCTGCTAGATGCTCACCAGCTGCTGTGTTTAGGCTCAAATTCATTAAGCCATTGTTCCTGAAACTCTTTGTTTTGAAGCAAGCCCTGATATCTTCCCTTTCCTTCATCTTTCTTGCTTTCTGGGACATTCTGATTGTTAGTGGTTTGTGAAAAGAGAATCCTGTAATCCACTCATCCTGGCATCAATACTATGTCTGTAGTAAACGTATGTACTACATCTCTAGTTTTTGTCCCGTGTTCTCCCATTGTCAGCCTGTTTGCAGCAGGAGTAGAGCGGACACCCGCTTGCATTCTGCAGTGGTCACAGAACAATCAGTCTTAAAAGTTTACAAATTTTGAACAAATACCCAAAAATATTCTTACCCTTTTCTTCCACTCATCCTTTTTGCCATTGCTTTTGGGTGCTCTTAAGTACATTAGTATTCTCTGAGATTTCTACCTCCTCCTCCCCCCACCTTCCTGGCTTCCCCATAAGA